TGTCCATTTTACTTTTATATTCCTGGAGTGTCTCTTGAATTCTCCTGTTGTAATTTCACTTATTGCAACTGTTCTGAACTATCCCACACATACATGGTAAGGAAAGTTGTTAAGAGAAGCTTTTTCTTGTGAGAAGCTTTCCTGCCAGCCTGATTCCAGAGCCGCATCAGTCCCAAATAAACACACAAGAGGCTATATTAATTATGAAGCTGTTGGCCTTGCTTGTTTCTTATTGGCTAGTTCTGACTTAAGTAATTACCCCATAATTGTTAATCTAAGTATGTCTCTTACTGGAGAATAGTTCCGGGATCCTACCCCATGGGGTTACATCTCGAACTCTCTTGTGTTTCTCCTTCCCAGAATCCTCCTGGATTCCTAGCCCCACCTATCTAGATTCCTATTGGCCAGACAGTGCTTTATTGACATATACACAGGACTTCCCAACATCTCCTCTTTTCTGTTTAAACAAAAAGAAAGGTCTTAACTTTAACATAGTCAAATTGTATATGACAGAACAGTTATCAAGTAAGAACACAGTTACAACATTTTGTCTATTAACATTTAGCAAGATCTAAAGAAAATATCATCCATCCCATCCTTGTGAGTCCAAAGTCCTATATGTAGCTTATCTTTTATCAAAACTAAGGAAAACTATAATTATAACTATCTGTCTTCAACTCTATCAAAGACCACAGAAGGATAATATATAAACACTAGGATTGACCGAGATATCTGTCTGGACAGTCACCCGAAGTTCCTCTGTAATGTTGGGGCATCCATCTTCAGCCCATAGGCCACAATGTGTCTGGAACACTTCTCAGCAAAGCAGGAAATTTCAAACCGTCCATCTGCATTGGCAGTCTGTCAGTCATTTTTCTGTGTCCTGCAGAATGTCCTGTAGACTCTTCCATGAAGCAGGAACCCTGTAAGACTGAGTTCAGCAGTCACTTTTCTGTGGGTCCTGCATGTTCAGTTTATACAGCAACAGTCAAACAGTCTAGGCAAGAGCAGTTTCTTGCCCAAATGGCTAATCTTGCCATGTTGAAAGCAAACTCCATAACAAGTTTCTTCGATGCCCATCTTCCTCTCAGACGTAATTGGTGCTGCCAGGAACAGACATTTCTCATTGTTAAGAAAAGCCCTAAACCATTTTAAATGCCATTTTCTGAAGGTCTTTGAGAGGTTTGAAGACTGTTTATCTATCTCAAATATATTTCTGTATATCTAGAAAACCTAACTTACCTAACTATAAATTTTGACTATTATAAGTAACTATCTATAGTCTGTATTCAATTATGCATTACGTTTTAAAAGATCAGTATAAGCACAATACTTAATCAGAGGAGAAATATACATATCACAAAATTGACCTTGAATTCATATCAATAAAGGAAAAACAATACCCATAACATAATTTCCCTTTTTACCATTAACAAGAGATCGGCTGTGATTGTTAGCCAATTATAAACAATCCCATTTAAATGAAAACAAAGATTTATAAACAAGATGGGAATCAGGATGTCGCTCATTCCAAACTGCTTCTTGCTGGAAGGGGGCACTGTTCATACCATGGGGATCATGACAAAACTCAGAAACCTGTATAAGTCCTTATTTTCGTGGTCTGTAAAGCTCCATCATCTTAGCTGTTTCAGTTGTTGGAACAACTGGTCCACTGCTTCCGGGGGGTCTTGTTTCGTCAAACCACAGAAGCCTGGAAGGAATCCTCAGCTTTTCATTTTCTGTGGAAACATAAGTAAAATCTCCTTTTCCATGTAACATATCCTTATACTTAAATTTTGAAGTCAAGGCATTTTTAAAAGATAGAAGTTGAATTAATTCAGCAGCATTTAAAATCAAGTGTACTTTAGTTGTTCCTTCCTTAGCAATGAAAAAACTGAAAAACCTAATAGCATACAGTATCCAGACTCTCTGTGTATTTTCCATCTTTACGTGGCATATTTATTTATCTATTATTACTCTATTTCTTTTACTTTTATTTATTTTTCTTTGAGACAGGGTTTCTCTTTTGAAATCCGCCTGCCTCTGCCTCTGGAGTAAATCCCACCGGTGTGCGCACCACAATTCCGGCTTTTGTATTTATTTACCACTTTGCCGTTTCATTTTCTCTCTCAAACTCACGTATATTTTTAAACACACTGTAAACCTTTAGAGGTTTTGTTCATCCAAGTCTGACTTTACTGTAAATCTTTACGTTTTTCTGGCCACGTGTCTTATCTGTAAAACCACGGCTGTTTTAAACTGCCGGTTTTTCGTCAAGATGGCGGGCGTAAGCGTGACTCCAGCTTACCGCCTCAGTCCATGCTGACATCCAGCAAAAGCTGCCACTTCCAGCTGTACGTACACACCTTTCAATCGTTAGCAGAGTCTCTTAAAACAACCTTGTTGGTTTTTTTTTTCTTTTTATGCCGAGTCAGGAAGACTCCGGTAAGTGAGCCGCGCGAATCTCGGCTTGTTGCTAGCAAAACAGAGCACACCTGAGAAAAATGCTGCTACCAAAATCTGTGCTTTTCTCTGTTCTTCTGTTTTTAAAATTCCTTTAAAGCTTTTGTTGTTTTGCGTGGAAATTGAATCCCACTCCTGACAACCATTCTGTTAAGAGAAGCTTTTTCTTGTGAGAAGCTTTCCTGCCAGCCTGATTCCAGAGCCGCATCAGTCCCAAATAAACACACAAGAGGCTATATTAATTATGAAGCTGTTGGCCTTGCTTGTTTCTTACTGGCTAGCTCTGACTTAAGTAATTACCCCATAATTGTTAATCTAAGTATGTCTCTTACCGGAGAATAGTTCCGGGTTCCTACCCCATGGCGTTACATCTCAAACTCTCTTGTGTTTCTCCTTCCCAGAATCCTCCTGGATTCCTAGCCCCACCTATCTAGATTCCTATTGGCCAGACAGTGCTTTATTGACATATACACAGGACTTCCCCAACAGAAAGTTTTCATGAAGTCTGTCTTTTTGAAGTGTTTGATTTCATAGAGCTCTTTTTTGAAACAGAGGATTTGCATGGGGGCAGACCTCCTGAGCATTGTTTGGATTAGAATTGGAGCAGATTAACCTGTCTGTATTTACACTATCAAGCTGTATTATCTAGTCACAATCTGTTCATCTGTTCACTAAATTCCCTTCCTCTTTTTCTGCATTCCCTTTTCTTCTATTGCTCTCTTAACTTTGAGTCTCTCATGTAGTTTCTATTTCCATAAACCATCACTGGGAGCAACTTCACCCATTATAGCCATGTGTGTAACTGGAGTCTTTGTCTCCATATCAGATTCCTACTAGACTTTTGAAATTGCAGTTTTCTTTTGTATATTATTACTATTTTCATAGACACTTTATTTTCTCCATTACTAAGATTTGGCTTATTTATGTTTGTGTATGTATAAATGTGTGTGGGTGCTAGTAGAGACCAAAAGAGGCTAAAGATTCCCTGGATCTGGGGTTAAAGGCATATGTGAGCCACCTTCCCTGAATTCTGGGAACCAACTCTTCATCTTCTGTGAGAAATGAAAGTGCTGTTAATCACTAAACCTTTTCCAGCCCAATCACCTGGAACCATTTCTCTAACTCTGCTATCCTGAGCCATCTCTCCAGCCCAGCCACCTAGGACCATTTTTCCAACTGTGTCACTATAGATTGTTGTCTTTTGCTAGTCACTCTCCATACTTAATATTGTGTGAATTACTTAGAGAATACCAAGTTTTTCTTCCATAGCTTATACATGTTTGTAAATGCCTTATTGGTGTTCCTGAAATGAACCATCTTCAAATTGTCTCTTCTTATATTATACTGCCAGACTTTACTTCTTAAACTACAACTTTCTCATGAGTCTCCTTTATTCTAAAATTTCTTAAATAAATGTAGCTGTTTTAGAAAGTCTCTCTCTCTCTCTCTCTCTCTCTCTCTCTCTCTCTCTGTGTGTGAATACTCATGTGCATATATTTGCAGGTCATTGGAGATCAGCGCACAACTTGTATAGGGGTTGGTGCTCTCTTTCTATCATATGCGTTTCAAGTATCCAACTCAGGTCATTAAGCTTATTGGCAAGTTCCTTTATGTACTGAGCCTTCTCACTGGCTCACACAGAACTTTTAAGAGCTACTTACTACCTATGGATGTAGGTTCCATGGAATCCAAAGAAGTAAAGAATGGAGTCTGCGTCTGTTCAACTGTAGTATTCAATTTCCTGTACTCAACTTTATATGTAAAATAGCTTCTGGTCATTTTCTTATAACTTAGGGGTATTATAACATGCATGTTGGGACAATAAGTTAGTTACAATAATATTTATTTACAATAATGTGATATATACTCAATCTGTAGTACATTGCTTCACTTAAACTCTATCTTTGAGCCGGGTGTTGGTGGCGCACGCCTTTAATCCCAGCACTCGGGAGGCAGAGGCAGGCGGATTTCCGTGAGTTCGAGGCCAGGCTGGACCGACAGCCTCCGAAACAGAGAAACCCTGTCTCGTAAAACAAAAAAACAAAAACAAAACAAAACAAAACAAAAAAACCAAACACCAAAAACCAAAAACCAAAAAAAACTCTATCTTTGAATTGTGATGTGTATGTGTGTGTTTATATGTATATATACATATAATTTTGTTTGCCCAGATTGCTAGCTACTAAATAATCTGTCTGACTCTTTAAATCTTCACTTTTCTAATGCAGATGCCACTACTTCCTCACTGAATGTGAATGAATATTTAGGAAATAAATGAATTAAGTATATTTTTATGATGTGTCTCTTGAGGAATTGCAGTTTTTTCTTCATTTGGAAATTGTTTTCATACTACATTTAACAACTGGGAAAATAGACAATCATTTTATACTTATGGTTCAAAGCCCTTATCTGTTTAGAGGAACTGCATAAGAACACTGGTTTCTTATTTTGTAGATTATGGATACAAACCAAAGAGTAACAGCTAATTCACTAAAGACCTTATAAACCTACTTTAAATTTATGTTCTTTTATCTTAGGACCTGCAACATACAGTCCGATTTTAATGAAGTCTCGTGCTATAATCTCATTTGTTAGAGGATCAAAGCGTTTTGAACATTGTCCCAAAGAGTTCTCTCCTGGACCAACGACATATGAGGTTTGTCAGTGCTTTCTCTCAGTACGACAGGAATAGAAAGATTTATATAAAGTATGGAACATGTGCACATAAAGTTCTTCCTATGTGTTTACTGATAATACTGACTAATCAAATTACTTGAGTAAGACATTCTTGAAGATGTATTCTGACATTTTAAGAAAAATGAATTATTTAACTTTAGCATTATATTAATTTTATATTTGTCCTCTATAGCATTGATATATAAAACATTAATAGTTTCTTGTGAATTTAAAAACTATGTGGATATTTTTCTATTTGATTTAATATATTTAATATATAATTTGACTTCATAATGAATGAAGGTCTTCTAAACTCTGAGCTTTCTGAGTGTATGACTTAAATGTATATAAACATTTGTGGAAATCGCAATTGAATTAGGTCTTTATAATCCCTTAGAGTATATTTTATGGAATTTTTTTGTTTGTTTGATTTTTTGGAGACAGGTTTTTCCTGTGAAACAGTCATAGCTGTCTTGGAACTCTCTGTAGACTAGGTGGTTTCAAACTCACAGAAATCCTCCAGCCTCTGCCTCCCTCCCAAAGGCTGGGAATAAAGGCATGTGCCACCACTGCCCGGCGGTTTATGGGGTTTGGATGAGCAGTTGTGAGCACTAGAGCCTACTTATCAGGCCAAGGTTACCTGATGTGGCCGAGGAGAAATGAGTCTTAACCAGGCCATGATGGAGGAAGTCTCAGCAAGACTGAGGCTGAGACAAGTTTATTGTAAGCACTCGGACCTTTTATAGCCTTATCAGAAACAATATTATAGTGGTGGCTGGGATCAATACAGTAGTAGTTGCCAGGATACAATGGTATACACAAGTTTAATGTCTGAGACTAGTTGTCTCAATTATCAAACTTCTATATGCTTCGCTGGCTTCTAGGGAACACAGAGAATCACGAGGTGTCCTGAATATTTCCGTGCCTGAGGGCATGTCTTGATTTCTCAGAAACAGAACGGCACACTGCCCCAGGAGTCACGGAATGTCTTTAGGCATGCCTCTCAAGACAGCTAGATCGGGGCAACTCCATGGTTCCCTGAAAGCACTGGCTTTAGTTATTTCTGTGTTTGGTATGGAATCTTGTGCTGTTCTTAAAGTCTACTTCCAGTGGAATGGATACCATAGCTCCTGTAGGCTTTATGTGACACAAATGCAAACACTCATGCTGACTTAGCATTCACATTTGATGGCACATGTGCCACACTTATTCCTTCATGTGTCTTTCTAAGTCAAGTGAAACCTTGTAGGTAGCATGTCATTTCATCTTATATCTATGTTTAGTCTTTATAAACCTTAAAATGGAAGAGTTTAATATTACATTTTCATTCAAAGATATTTGACAGATAAGCTCTTTTTCTTATGTTTCTCAAATGCTTAACATGTCCTTTGCATCTTTCTTTCTCTCCTATTTTTCATTTGTGGCTAAACAGTGTACATTGGAAGTTATGGCTCCATTATTACTATTTTTTATTCATGGTAGCAATGACTTCTGTGTTTTCTATATATTTTCTAATGATCTATTTATATATTTACTTATTATATATATAGTGTTCTGCCTGCATGTATGCATGCACACCAAAAGAGGGCGCCAGATCTCATTATAAATGGATGTGAGCCACCATGTGGTGGCTGGGAATTGACATCAGTACCTCTGCGGAAGCATCCAGTGCTAACCATTATGCCATCTCTCCAACCCGAGCTTTCTATATTTAATGATGTTAATTATTGTACCTTTGCTTCCCAATCTAGGACTCCTTCAAGCTTTGTGTGTGTGTGTGCCTGTGTGTGTGTGTGTGTGTGTGTGTGTGTGTGTGTGTGTGGTGTTTCTGTGTATATATTGTGGTGATGTGGTTCTTCTGTTCTTGATTTATTTCTCTATTTCTGAATGATAAGTTCCCTGTTTCATTTCCTTAAGAGGAATTGTTGTTTCATTTCCTCTAAGACCTTGGTATACCGTACTCTCTGCTCTTTGCCTGTTGAGAATTTGCTCAGTTTCTTTGAGATTTCTCAGAGTGTGACTTAATACTTTCTCTTTGTCTTGGATTTTGAGCTTTTGAGTATAAAATACCTCCAAGAAGACCGTTTGTCTGGATACAACTAAGGCCTTTTGTATTTTGTGGACCTAGATGTCTATATTTTTTCCATAGTTTGATAGGTTTCTGAAGCCTTTTTTCTTCCCCTTTATTTTTGAAACTTTAGTAATGAGAATATTTACTCAATGGTATCTCATAAGAATGTCTTCATCATTTTCTTGTGTTAATTTATTAATTCCTAAGGATTATAACTCAAGACCCTGTCACCTACCAAATATCTCACTTACTAATTTTCTACTTGGGAGTTAAGATTTGAGAGTGGGTCAAGATTAGATATGTGGAAAATTAATTTTTCTAGAGTACTTGAGAGTCTGTATTGGTTCCAAAGAGTCACTTTCAAGAATTAAGGAGATATTCACTACATAATCTAGACCTCTACTTTAAGCAAACTGGCTCCATATTTTTATATATAACACATGTGTGTTAGTATACAATTACATTATAAAAATAAGCTTCATTGCTTAAAGATGAAAGAGGAAAAATTTAAAGCTACCTGTATAGAAAAGGCAGTTTTATTGAATTAAGAGGAAACTGACAATAAGTCTTAATTAACTTAATTATTTGCAAAAAGAATAAAACCTATCACAAATATGCATGATATTTGTAATATCATTCATAATGGTACTTATTATAACACTTGACTGTAGGAAGACCTGTGAGTTGCTGTTATTCTTATTACTTTTAGCTCATGATTGCATCAGTTCATTTCTACCTTATAAGTATTGACTCAGTTGAACTACACTCTGAAAATGTGAAGCAAAAAATATGTTCTTTAATGTGTATAGCATTCTGGTAAGGAAAATATATAAATATTTTAATTATAATAAGATACTTTGAGTTTTGGGAATAGGTGAAGTGTACAAAGGTATATGGTGTAAGGAGTTGGTCAAAATGAATCTATAAAATTTGACAGTATTTTTTGTAAAATATGAAAATGTTATGGGTCTTTTCTTTTTAGAGAAGCCAAAAAAACATGATATAGAAAAATGAAATGGTATATGCAAACTCATTAAGTCACCAAAATATACAAAATTCTTGGAAAACTGCTATTTTCCTTTGTAACTAAAATACAATAAATGGGTGAGTATTGGACCTGTAGGTGTATAAGAATACAGAGTGTTAAAATACTATTTTTCTCTTCTCTGAACTATAGGCACTGAAGATTCCTTTTCTTGCTAGATATAAGATTGTTACTAGGCATCAGAAAAAATGTTGGGAATTATAGCAACATTAATCTAATTAAATTTAATTTAAGATTTTAATATGCTAAATATGGCTCTTCTTTATAGTTTTCTCCTAAGTTGCAAATAAGAATTATAAAACATACACATACACACATAAGATTTTGATATTGGATAAAAGATAATTCTAAGATTTTCCTCCCTCAATATATGTATTAATCTCTGCAGAAATGTTTTATTAATGTATTTATTTTAAAATTTGACAAATTTGCTATTAAAAGTGCAATCTGCTTTAAAGTATGTAGGTCAGTATTTCATATCCCTTGGAAATGTGTCTTGTAGTTTTGCTTTTAGGATTTGCACTTCAATCATAAAAACCATCACATATTGCTTAAAGAGAGTTCTTATATTCTACCTGTCATTCATTGTTATAAGAAGAACATATGTAACTCTCCAAGGACTCTGGCCTTCCTTTACTTCTCCCTCATTTGTGCTTATAGAATCTGGGTTTTACTAGTCCTTCAACTTTACAATTTTCTTCATTTTGTGGAGATTAAGTCTGTAGTTGAAAATATAATCTTAGCCTGTCATTATGGAAATTCTTCTCCAGTCCACAGTGTGATATGCTGTGTGTTGTGTTGAGAAGTTTTTTGTAATGTTTTTATTTAAATTAGAAACATGAATGCTTCACATGACAGTCCCAGCTCCCTCTCCCACCCCTCCTCCCTTGTCCCTCCACTAGCCCCCCAACCCCTACCCAATCACCAAATCATTTCCCAGAGAGAGTGAGGCCCTTCTTGTGGGATCTCTAAAGTCTGTCATTTTATCCAGGGCAGGACCTAGGCCCTTCCCCATGTGTCCAGGATGAGAGAGCATTCCTCTATTTAGAATGGGCTCCCAAAGATCAATCATACACCATGGTAAACACTGATCTACTACCCAAGGTCCCTGTGATTTCTGTGGCCTCCTCACTGACACTACATTCATGGAGTCTGGATCAGTCCCCTGTTGGCCTCTCAGGCATCAGTCTGGGATTCAAGAGCTCCCCTTATCTGGCCAGCTGTCTTTGTGGGTTTCATCATCATGGTCTTGACCCCTTTGCTCATCACTCCTCCATCTCTGTTACTGGGTTCCAGGAGTTCAGTTCAATGTTTAGATGTGCATCTCTGTCTCTGCTTCCATCAGTCACTGGATGAAAGTTCTAGGATGGCATTTAAGGTAGTCATCAACCCTATCATCAAAGAGGGGCTATTAGTGTAGCCTCTCCACTATTGCTTAGTTTGCCAGTTGGTGTTATCCTTGTAGATCTCTGGAGATCTCACTAGTGTCAGCTCTCTCCTCAAGCCTATAATGACTCGATCTATTATGGTATCTCTCATCCGGCTCTCCTCTATTCTTACCTCAACCTTCCCATTCCCCCATGCCTTCTTCTCCCCCTCCTCTTACCCACTTCTCTTTTTCCTGGTTCCCTCTCCCCCCCATGTTCCCAATCTGTTCAGGAGATCTTGCCTCATTCCACTTCTCTGGGGCATCATGCATCTCTCTTGGGAACCTCCCTGTTTCCCAGACTCAGTGGCACTGGGATTGTAGGCTGACACTCCCCTGATCCATATCTAAAATCCATATATGAGTGAGTACCTACCATGTTTGTCTTTTTGGGTCTGGGTTACATCACTCAGGATGATTTCCTCTAGTGCCATCCAT